GGGAGCGCACGGTGACAGGGCGTTCTGCGGAGGGCTGGTGGGGACACAGCTGTTGGCTACCACGTACCCGCGGCTAGCGCAGTGTCACCACTCAGCAAGGATGCAAATGAGAGTGAGTGCGGTGTGTGAGCACCAGTCCCCGCACCTGTGACCCCTGTGGTCCTACTTCCTCTGTGCCTGTGCGGGCCTCTTGTTTTCTGAGCCTCGGTTTCCACACCTGCCTGGCACCTGGTAAAGGCCCGGTAAATATTAGCTGACGTTCTTAATATTCTCATAATGGTGCTTACTAGGCACCTGGCACTGTGCTAAGCGCTCTAGACCCACCTTCTTGTGTCCCCGCAGAAGGCAGGCGGAGACCGGAGAATAGTTGTTTACTCAGCGCACACGTTTCTCCTCCCACCTCTTCTTTTCGCTTGCCTCTACTCGCTCTGCACCCAGGAATGCCTGCCCTGTCTCTTCATTTAACTGCTGAGTGCCTACTGTGTGCCAGGCACTGCTCTTTGCGCCGGGGATACAGCAGTGAGCAAAATAACCTTTTGCCTTTGATTTATGATAGGTGCATTCTTTTTTTTTTCTTTCCAATGTATTTGTTGGACTCATGAAGGTGGGCAGGGTCTGTCTCCGTCACTGCTGTGTCCTCAGGCCTGGTACCCAGCAGGTGCTCATTAAATGTTGGCCACATGTGGGGCTGGATGGGTGCCAGGCACACTGGCTGCGGGAGTGGTGTGAGTGCCCTAGGGCTGGTAGAGCCTCGGTCCCGAGCTGGCCCTAGCCGTGTCTCTGCCCCTAGATCTACCAGAGCCTGCTTCTGCGGGGCCTGTCCCTGGTGGGCTGGTACCACAGCCACCCGCACAGCCCGGCGCTGCCGTCGCTGCAGGACATCGACGCGCAGATGGACTACCAGCTGCGGCTGCAGGGCTCCAGCAACGGCTTTCAGCCCTGCCTCGCCCTGCTCTGCTGTGAGTCCCACGAAAGGGGCGGGTGTGGGACCCTGACGACCACCAAGCCCCGCCAGGCTCAGCCCCTTCTTTCTCCTCCCCTCAGCCCCTTACTACTCTGGCAACCCGGGGCCAGAGTCCAAGATCTCGCCCTTCTGGGTGATGCCGCCCCCTGAGGTAGGCGGGGCTGCTGGGGGAGGCCGGGCCGGGCGGCGTGGGCGGGGCCAGGAGGCTCGTGGGCAGCACAGAGCCTAGAGTCTGGTTCCGGACTCATTTGCGGAGCTGGGGTCTCAGTTTCTCTGCAAACATAATCACGGAGGCTCCTGCGAGGGCCTGGGTGTGAAGGGTGCTGGAAAGGTGGGGGCTGCACCCGTAGCATGCTGCTTTTGCTACCAAGATCGTCTCCTTCCTGAGCCTTGTTTGGTTTCATTCCCTAAGTCCGTATTGGGATCAGAGATAAGCTTTGGGGGAGGCGGGCGAGAGTATAGCTCCGTGGTTGAGTTCAATCCCCATTAAAACCAACCAACCAACCAACCCAATTACCCGCCCTCCCCCAGAAAAGCAGCTTTGTTAAGGAATTCCAGAGCCACAGCCACTCCTGCCTGTGTGGTGGGGGGGATGCCACCCAGCTTCTCTAGCCGTGCTGCCGGGTTCCCCGAAGGGCCATAAGGCTCTGAATCTGATCCTAGTGCAGACCCAGGCCTGGAGTATCCATTCTGATTCCTAGCCTAGCGCACTTCCCAATGTCCACTGCTGTCTTGGGGTGGGGGCTGGGGGTGGTCAGCGCTGACTGGCTCGTGTCCCTGCCAGCAAAGACCCAGTGACTATGGCATCCCCATGGACGTGGAAATGGCCTACGTCCAGGACAGCTTCCTGACTAATGACGTCCTTCATGAGATGGTGAGCTCACTCCTGGGCGGAGCGGGTGGGGGCCCCGGGAGGAGCAGATGGGGGCTGAGGGTGCCCAGCTGGACAGACCCCGGATTGTATGACTCAGGAACCTGTGGGTAGATGCACCACATCGGGGCCCAGGGCAGGCTCCTCTTCCACTGCTGAAAATCAAGGGCTCTAAGGGTGGGTCCCAGACCCTTGCCCGAGCCCCTCCCGCCTCCCCCTCCCACGCCTTCCTGGCCTCCTCGCTGTTCTGGAGCATGCCAGCAATGCTCACGCCTTGGCTCTCTGCACCTGCCACTGATTCTCCACGAGGGGACACGTGAACCTCAAGCGTTACCTGGGTGAAGATTTTTAATTCCTGCTGTTAAACAGGCATTTAAACAGATTGAGCTAGCTGGTCACACCTGTGATTTCAGGGATGTTACTCTCGGGATGAGGTTAAACCAGGGAGTGGTGTCAGGGCTGTGTGGGTGTAAAGAATCACGTTCGGTGGGCCGCCTTCTGCTGGCAGGGTTCAGTCTCCTCCGGGGGCCCTGCTACCAAGCTCCCTTATTTCTCCTGGGTGGGGGTGGTGCTGCTTGGCGGTTTACCTCCTGGCAATGCCTAGAGGCCACGTGAGGGGCAGAGCAGTGCCTGTCCCACCCGCTGCTGCCCCCTGGCGCCGGGCCTGGGCAGGGCGGGAGCCCGGGCTCTTACCTGCCCCCACCCCGACCCGCAGACACTGCTGGTGGAGTTCTACAAGGGCGCCCCTGACCTTGTCAGGTTCCAGGAGCCCTGGAACCAGGAGCACACCTACCTCGACAAGCTGAAGGTGAGACTCATGCAAACCCCTCCCTGAAAAGATGATCTTGGGGAACCCCCGAGTCTATATCCATGGGCAGTATGAGAAATAGTGACTTCTTAAGTGGTCCTGTGCAAAAATACTTTAGAAATGAACAGAGTCGTGTTTTATCACACATGGGCGGTGACGGCAGTAGAGGTCACCATCCAAGTGCAGAGGAAAAGGTAAAAGCCCCACAGACCCTGTGGCCCGGGGACATCCCGGCTGGAGAAGCTGCGCTGGGCCCCCCCTCCCCGGGCCACACGCTGGGGAGCAGAAGGCGGTCTGATCCGATCCCGAGCCTTACGCACCAGCAGAGCTGAACTGAGCAGAGCGGCTGGTGCGGGAGCGAGCTTCCCTGGCCCACCGGCCCTACGGCTGGTCAGTGGGGTATGTCAAGAGGGCTTGGCAGCCTCTTCAGTGCGTCTCCTTATCTCCTGCTTGAGAGTCATTCTCAGAAGATACTCCCCACCCCCCTTTGCAGAAAAACAGAATTTCACACGTTTGCTTGTTTTGTTAGACCTGACAGCGACCAGGGCTTAAAGCTGCCACTGGTCACCTCCCACCCTGGCACTGGGTGGGAGGGGTGGGGGTGGCCCTGGGCATGCAAGGGGGCAGTAAGGAGGATTTGGATTGTGTGGAGGAACCCCTACCTCCCAAACAATGACATCCGGGGCCTTCGAGATGAAATGTGCCTAAGAGGAAGGCGCGGCTTTAGGGATACAGCCGAGAACCCCTCTGCCAGGCTGCAGCGCAGGGCCTCCAGGGCAGAAGCGCCCGCGCCGCCCTGAGGCAGGCCTGCCTATTTCAGATCTCCCTGGCCAGCAGGATGCCCAAGGACCAGGGCCTGTGCCACGTGCTGGAGCAGGTTTACAGCGTCCTCAAGCAGGGGAGCTGAGGGCGCCAGCCTCCAAGGACCGGGGCGACCCAGGGCGAGGGCAGCGGGCCCCGGGCTCTGCCCGCGGCGGTGCCGCCCTGTCCCTGTGTGCCTGAGCTGCCGGGCAGCAGGCGCTCGCACAATAAAGGAGAGAAACAAGCAGCCCAGGTGCGTGCGTCGCGTCACGGGAGCAGGAGGGACGTCACTCGGGCAGCCACGGCCAGCGGGGTGGGGGGCTCTCCCCACCCACACCAGTGACTGGCAACGACGGCCGTCCCTCCCAGGCCTGTATGGGCGCCTCGTGCCCTCGCTGGAGACCCTCGGGAGGGCCCGCCCTGCACCACAACCAGGCAAACGGCTGTAGAAAGAGACATTTAATACTTTTTTAAAAAAATCAGGATTACATTTTCATCTGCCCTAGGCTGTGATGTCTATTCCTCCTCCAAGTACTGGCGACCAGGGGGCCTTGGAGATAAGCGGGGAGGGCCTGGTGTTGTTGGGGACTTTACTGAGTCACCGGAGGAGGGGAATGTGAACCAGGGTCCCCTGTTTAGCCAACTTTTAGATCAGGCAAGAGGGGAAGTGAGTGCAGGGCTGGGGCCCTGCTGGTCTGGGCAGCTGCCTACCTTGGTCTGGAGAAGACAGTCTGGGCCACTGTCCAAAGAGGGTATGGTGGCCGGCTTCAGACAGGGAAGTGCCCGTGACCCCCAACCAAGGGGGCCCCAGTAGCCAGGGGTCTGGGAACATTCACTTATCAAAGTCTTTGTGCTTGACCTTCCGCAGAGTGGAGGCTGGCCTGCCGTGGTCCCATGTGTGGCTGGTGTGTGTGTGTGTGTGGTGTGTGTGTGGTGTGTGTGTGTGGTGTGTGTGTGCGCTGGTGGTGGCAGCTTGTGCCAGAGAGACACACTCCATGTGCTTGGCTGGGGGTGGTGCGGCGGGCATGGGAGTGGGGCTCACTGCCCTGCAGGAGGGAAGCATGGCCACCCAGGTGGTGCGGGGGAGAAGGCCTGTCTTTAGGGGACTTGGCACCTGAGGACCCCAGGCTCATCTCTCCCCAAGCCCCCAGCTGGAGGGAAGAGGTGAGGCCCTCCCAGGGAGGTGGCATCTGCAGGTATGCAGGGCTTGGGGAGCCCCGGAGGGAGCTGTGAAGGAATGTCCTGGGGGAATTTAAGAGGAGGGTGGTGAGCCTCTCAGCCGGGGCCCAGACCACTCAGACCACCCCGTTACACAGATGCTCAGTCCTATCCTGCTGAGGGCGGGTCTTCCAGCAGAGTGGCAGGAAGGAGGTGGGAGAGGATAGGGCGTGGGGGGGTGTGTGTTTGCCCACGCGCATGCACACGAGTGTGTGAAGGGGCCCACCTGGAGTTACCAGTCCCTAGAGGGGGTGGGAGGAAGTTAGTGTTTCTAAGAGCACCTTAGTGTGAGCCCTTAGTGGGCTGGGCTGGGCTGTGGGGCAGAATTGGTGAGCAGCAGGAAGGAGGAACACTGCCCAGCCCTCAAGAGGGCCACATGGAGTGGGGAAGGGAGCCCCCCACCACTGGGGTTGGCGCTAGTGTAAACGGGACCTCTGCTGTCCCTCTGGGCTCTGCCTCCTCCCCTCGGCCCTGGGAGCTGGCCGCCCGCAGGCTGTGAGCACTGCCCTCGCTGCGGGGCCGGTGGCATGCAGAGGTCTGGACGGAGGGGCAGGCGGGCGGGCCGACGCGTGGCTCAGGCGTGGTCACTGGGGCAGCGGCACCAGCACCTGCACGTAGCTGAGGGGGAAGAAGCCGGACTGGCCGTGCAGCATGCCTTCGTACCAGTTCTCGTCGATCTGGTTGGTCAGAGTGATGATGTCGCCCTCGTGGAAGCCCAGCTCCCCATCGTTCTCAGGCTCAAAGTCATACAGGGCCTTGCAACTGGGCTGGTCCAGGGGCGCTGGGGGTAGGGCAGGGGTAAGGTCTGGCTGTCACCTGCCCCCTGCGGGTGTGCAGGGTGACACCACTTCCCCTCCTGCCTGGCCCCAGTCCGGTCAACTCACTGCTTCTCAGTTTCCCCCAAAGGAGACCCACTCCCTCCTCTCTGGCTCCCCTCAGCTGTCAGAAGGAGTAAGTGACAAGCAGGGGTTAAAGGGCTCTGTGAGTGGTCACCAAGATGCTCCTGAGAAGAGCTGGGGACGCCTGATAGCATCAGGATGACAGTGACCAGAATTGCATGGTCCTCAGGGTGCCACTCAGAGCAGAGGGAGGCCCAGGGCCCAGATCCACTCCTACTGGAGATGGGGAGCAGAAAGACCCTTCCAGAGCAGATGAGAAGGCGGCATTAAACTGGGGGCAGGGCCTGTGCCTGCGGGGGACACTCACGCATGCTCCTGCTGCTGGGGGTCCGGACAGGCTTGTTGGAAGATCGGAAAGATGAATCTGCTTGCAGACAAAGCACAGGTGGGCTGAGAACACAGGGTGGGGCCTGGTGCCCACCCCTGGGGGTCCCTCTAGAGGAGAACTCGCCCTGTGGTCTGGATGGATGGCAGGTGCCCCTGAAGGGGCCTAGGACACAGCAAACCCCTCCCAATTGTTACCTGAGATTTTGGGAGCCACGGTGCAAGGGAAGCCCCCGTTGGACTGCTCGGGCTCCCCGAGGTCCAAGGGCTCCCGCGGCCTGGGCTTGTACTCCCGCTTGGGGCGTGAAGAGGCTTCCCGCATCCTGCGTGTGGAAGGAGGCGGGCGAGCAGTCCTGAGCCCCCATGTGTCAGGGCCAGGGAACCCCCAACTGTTAGTGCTGCCGCCCCAGGACCCAGGGAAGCATTCAGGAATGAGGGGGACACCAGGGGGATCCTGGGGGAACCCCAGCCATTTCTCCGAGAATGCCGAATGGTTGGGTTCTACTGAATCCTGAAGTGCCCTTGGTGGCGGCGGCCAGGGAACTGGTGCCCACCAGCCCCCGACTGGGAATCCACTACCAACCAGAGCTTCCCTGTTCAGACCGTGAGTGCTGCCTGACTCCCAGAGAGCCCTCGGAGAGAGGACCCCCACGCACCAGTCCTAGACAAACCCTCCCTCAGGACACCTCAAGCCTCTCCTCTAGGGACCATGAGGATGTGGTCTTGCTCCCTCCTGGGACCCCAACCCCTACTTGTGCAGCCCGGGGGCCCAACCACACTGCCCTGGACTGAGCTCACAGCAGGGCTGGGCTGTCCGGGGGCAGGGACATCTCACAGGCTCTGAAGGGCCGGCCCAGGCAGCCACACACCCAGCCTCCTGGCCAGCAGAGAAGGCTGGGGCTCCCATGGGGAAGGCCCGGGTAGGGGGTGGGGGTGGGGCTCACCTCCGCTTGAGTTTGTCAGCCAGCTCGTCCAGGATCTGCACAGCCTGCCGGTGGTAGTCCAGCTGGGCATCCACCAGGGCAGAGAGCTGACTCACCTGCTCGATCTGTGAAGGACCAGCCATGGCTGCAGAGCTGCCCTCCTGACACCTATCTCTAGGCCACCCCCGCAGGAAGCCTTCCTAGACTGTTTCGGACACAGGGGCCCAGCCCCCTCCTGTCCACATGACCCTTGAGCCGCAGCTGGAGGAGGGTTAAAAAGCCAGAAAAGACCCCAAAACCTCAGTGGGCTGGTCACTGCCCTACTCTGGCCCTCCTGTCTCCCCCTCCTTTCCTTCTGCCCATCGGCCCCGGGAGGCTGGCACCACAGCTGGGCTCCGTGTTTCAGGGGCTCCTTGGGGTGGTGGGTGCACGCAGGGAGGCCGTGCACGTACGTCGGTCTCCAGGAGGTTGTGCATGCTGGTCTCAGCCACCTCCTTGGACTCCTCGAACTTCTCCATGGCCTGGCGCAGCTCCTCGTCGGGGATCTTGCCCTGCCGCTTCTTCTTGTAGTCGAAGTCCAAGCGGCGGCCCTCCAGCTTCTTCAGGTGGTGCTGGGGGGCGGGGACGAGTGTCACACCACATGCCTGGGGCCTCCAGGAAGGCCGCCCTGATGCCCCGCAGCCCTTTTCACTGGGAAACCCAGGCTGGGCTGCACTGGGGGGGGGGGCGTGAATGTGGCCGGGAGCAGCCCAGCGTACCTGGATCTCCTTCAGGTCCTTGTCACACAGGTTCTGGAGGGGGTCAATGAAGTTCTGCTTGACCTCTATGTCCAGGGAGTCCTTCACCTCAGCGAGGCGCTTCATGGACTCCCCGGCATCCAGCAGGGCGTCGCCTGGAGAGAGGAGGGGTCGGGGAGGAAGCCGTCACAGGAGGCCTTGGCCTATGGGGCTGAGACACACCCCATAGCCAAGGTCCTGAATGCTAGAACTAAGAACAAAAAAGGGACCCTGAGCCATAGCAGCCGGGTGCTCACTCCTGCTGGTGGTACAGATACTCCGGTCCCCCTCTCTCCGCCCCTGCCCCTCCCTCGGCCTCACCGAAGTTGGACTCGCCGCCCAGCTCCTTCCCGTGGCGGATCATGCACTCGCCCAGCAGGCCCTCCGACTGCGGGTAGCCGGGGTTCTTCACCTGCCCGCGGATCTTAGACACCGTGTTGAGCATCGTCAGCTTGGCCCGAGAGGCTGGAATGGGATGGGCCGGGTGGGCGTGAGGGTGGTCTCTCGAGGAGTCGCCAGGCCTGCCCTCAGCCAGCACCGCGGGCTGACCCCCTTTGCCCACACGCCCGTTTATCTCTAAAGCACTGCCTTGACCCAAGGAACCAGAATGTGGGAAGGGCCTCCCAGGCAGACTCGCCTCCTCTGCTCTTGTCCTCATGAAGGAGCACGAGCAGTGAGCAGGGGAGGGGGCCAGCTCCCAGTCACCCCCCGGGCCCCTTGCTCTGGGCACGGCTCTGACTGAGGAGCTACCCTCCAGCCTCTGGGGAAGCCGTGCTTGCACCTCTGCCAGATCTAGCCTGTCCCAGCACAGGCCTCGGGTGGACACAGCTGCTGCTGCCGCGTGTCCTGAATCTGTTGACTTTCACTACAGGGACCAGCATGTGGATTTTCCTCCTTCTCAGCCTAGGAGACCCCCACCTCGTGCTCCAAAGGCGGGCATGTGGCTGGGGCCTGGCATGCTGGGGATGGGCACCCAATACAAATTGGTACAATGAGTAGGGAGGGGTGAGAAAGATCTCTTTTCTGCTGGGATTGTTAGCTGTAAGGGTGATTTAAGGCTAGGACTGCCATGAGGAATGAGAGCTGACACATGACACAGAAAGGAAATGCATGACCCAGAGAACAGCTTTTGGATGCCTAGATCCAGCCATGCCTGAACTTCCCTACCCCTGGGCATTTCAGTTCTGTGGGCCTATACATTCCTTCTTCCTGCTCTGGTAACTGGAAGATTCCTGACAGCAAAGACCTAAGGAGTTGTGGGCAGACCCCCTTGCAGCTAGCGGGCACCCCTACCTGGGTTGGGCTGCAGGTACTCGATGGTTCTGGCCAACACTTCTGTCACAGCCTTGCTGGTAACATCCACCTTCTGTAAAGAGAGGCCATGTGTGAGGTTTCAAAATCACCACAAGCCCCAGGACAGCCCTTGCCCTGCTCCCTATTCCCTGCCTGCCTCAGAGCCCACCCAAGAACCACCCGCTGCTTCTGGGGGCTGCTGGCCTCCCCTCCTTGTTGTTGGCTGTGCTGTGCCTCCACTGCTACCTGCCCAGGGCTGGGGGAGGCCTGCAAGCCACCCAGGCCCTCCCAGTAAGCCTCACCTCCCCCACACACCCCACCCCCACGCTGTCAAAGCCAGGCCCCATGGTGGGCGGTAACTGCCAGGTGTCAGACAGGCATCATCTCCCGTTACCTTCTCCATCTCTTTGAAGTCATCGTCAAGCTTGGTCCCTTCAGCCCCTCCAACCTTCTCACTGACCAGCTGGGGGACAGAAAGAGAGAGGAGTGTGAGCCTCAGAGAAGGAGACTCCAGGATGCCTTTTCACCCTGTCCACTGCAGGCGGGAGGAGGGCGAGGGCTCAGAACAGCCACAATGGCTTCTCAGGGATGCTGAACCTGGTACCAATGGCCAAACGGGGTCAACTGAGGCCCCCGTTCTAAATCCACACACTCCTTCAAACCCAGGGCAGGGGGCTCCTGTTGGAAGCCTTGCCTGGCCGTGCCCACCTCATAAGGCTGCAGAGCCCAAGAGTGTCCCCCACCATTACAGGGCTGAGGTGCCCATGCCTGGATGGCAGTGCCATGGTTTGGCTCTGGACAAGGCGCCCAGGCTCACCGAAGCCCCTTCACTCAGGGAACCGCACAACTCCTCTTCCCACTGACACTCTGCCTCTCTGGGAAGGAGTCTCAAGGACCATGGCTCTGCATTCCCCAGGGGCAGGTCCCAAGGCTGAACAAACATGGGGACCACGGTGTCGGACAAGCACCAAGCAGGAGGGAAAGACCTGCCCCACACAGGCCAACTGTCCTGCTACCCGGAAGTCACTTGTGAATGTGTGCATGCGTGCACACACACTCACGCAATTTCCTGGTGGCCAGCAGCCATCTCTGCCCACCCATCAGGGCCACTGAAGGGCTCCTGAGAGCACTGAGGGGCCACCAGCCAGCAGGAGTGCTCAGACCACTGCCGTTTGACGACTGATCCACCACCCTCTGCCTGTGTGATTGTGGGCAACTGGCTTCACTGGGCCTCAATTGTTGCCTCTGTAAAATGGGGTGACAGGTGAGCACCCACAGAGCTGTAGCCAGGCTTTCGTGGGCTGCTGTATGCGAATGTGAGCTCAGGGCTACATCTGGCACACGGTAAGCACCAGACACTCATACTGCCCACACCAACGGCCGCTGTTACTCTCCCCACGCATCTTGTCCCTCCAAGGGGACTGCAGGGCAGGCCTAGCCTGTGGGTCTTAATCCCCACATCCCCCTGCCTGGGGTCAAGAGGGGACGGGGCCTCGTGCCCCGGCAGGTCAGTGTTCTCACTGTGGCTGCAGCCCAGGAGTCCAGGAGGGGATGGGGCACAGGAGGAAGCAGGGCTGCTCAGGGCCTGCACCACCGCACACAACCTCTGGGGGATCCTCCAAGGGCAGGCAGGGACTTCCCTCCTGTTTCTGACTTTATAAGGAAAAACCCTGGTCTCTCCTAGACCTTTTTGGGGTGTTCCATTTTATTTCATGGGACAGTTTCACTTCTTTTGATTACGGTAAAACAGGACGTTCAGTGGTTGTCAGAGAGGGAAATGAGTTCGCTGCCTGCCGTGAGACAAGGCTCTTCTGGTGAACAGAGGGCAGCTGGAGCACCGGTGCTCAAAAACCACACCTTCCGGGCCAGACACCCTGCTCAGCGTAGGGGTCACGGGCACTCCCAGGGAGCAGCCCCTGCTGGCCAGATCACGTCCTTCCTCTGTAGGGAGAGGGCATGGGCAGACCGCACAGCCTCTTCCAGGCCCCCCAGGAGTGTCACCTCTCTGTCTCCCTTGGAGCCCTGACACCTCCACAGGCAGCTCCATGTGGGGCCATCCTTGCTCTGGCACCTGGGGGGCCACACTGGGAACATCTGGGCCCCTACCAGTCTCCTTGCCCCACCCCCACCCAGGAACTCAGCGCTCTAGTCCCCCTCAACTGACCGTCACCCCACCTCCCTTCTCTCCAAGGCTCAAATCGTTGGAACTGGCACCCGTGGATGAAAGGATGACAAAAGGCCAAACGGGTAAAGTGGGGAAAAAACAAGCTACATGCCAACCACAGTAAGAGCATCGGAGGAGGGACGCAGTGATGAGGGCGGGGCTCCCCGGGAGGGGCAGGCAGGGCCCCGGGGAGGGGCTGGGGATTTGTGGCACAGCTGGGAGCCACACGGGTTCCCAGGAGACTCCACAGGCAGGACACTGCTTGGTGAGGCCAGAGGGTGGGGGTGCCCTGTCTGTGGAGGGGGGGGTCAGGACCCCGACACGCAGTCCTGCTCAAGGACCTTGCACACAACTTTTCAGGCCCGACAAGAGCAACGGAGCCATGGTGGAAGGAACACCTCTGTGTGTACAGTCTGCACCCCAACTCCCCACAATCTCATGGTGCTCCTACGCTGCGTGAGAGTAAACTGAGGCACCACCCTGGCAGGGGCCTGGCAGGCTGAGAACTGACGCCCACTCTTCTCTCTGCATCTACTGAGCGGCCGCAGACCCCTGTGCCCCTAACTCCCCAGGGCTCACAGTGCCGAGCGGCTTCAGGAGAGGCCGCACACAGCCGGCCTCAGATCTTTGCGAGGCTGCTCTTGGCCTCTCAGAGCCTGGCCTGGCCCTCCACGCCAGCACACCTGGCTTCGTTTCCACCTCGGAGCGGCGAGGACCCCAGGAGGCGCTCAGTGACCGTGTGTCTCACAAAGGCCCAGATCGGGGTCCTTTCCAGGGAGGCCGGGCACCTGTCTATCACAGGGTCCACAGGTGGTTCTGAGACCAGCCGCAGGTGACTGCTGAGTGCCGCTCTGTGACACATCCGAGTGCTCACCTTCCTGTGTCTGTCCTTTGTGACTACGGCTCTATCGTGGTATTGCTAGCTTGTCACCGGACGCAGAGGGGAGCGCGCACTTCATTGCGCTTTTGAGGCAGCACACCTCTGGCCCCGCAGGGGGCTCCCTCTGCTGCCCCTCCCTCAAGCAGGGCCTCTCCGGGAGGCCACACAGGGGACTCACACCGTAGGTCTGGTTTCACCGGTGATTCCCCTGTATTATTCTAACCTCTAACCAGGGCACGAGGGAAGAGCGTGCCCTGCCCTCAATCCAGGCTGCAGTACCTCCAGGTTGGGAGGGGGCCACAACTCCAAGTCCCCCAAGTTCACACTGTAGCTTAGACTGTACAGGTGCTCACTGCCGGTAAGGGGGTGAAAGGACCCCCACACCGCGTGCTTCCCCGAGTGTCGACCCACTCGGGCTGCTCCCCAAGGGTGGCCTGGGCCCAGCTCCCACGTGGACACTGAACAGTCCTACTTACAGCAACACACCCGCAGGTGACTGTGACAGGCAGACAGCGGCCTATTTCAGGCTCTCCCACTGATGCGTAGTGGAGCCACATGTCTGATGATGGCACTTGTCCCAGGCACCTGGGGAATGAGCGAGCCTGGAACGGAGGTGGGTCTTCATCCCTGAGCACCTGCATGACCTCTACCCACACGTGCAGCTCGTGGGCACTGATGATAAAGATCAGTAGGAGGAGGGGGCTGCTCTCTCAAAGATGGCGCTCGTCAGCATTCTAGACCTTTGGCCATCTTGAGAGAGGAGCTAGGAGTCTGACACGTGGGACAGAAAGAGAACACGCAGTGGAACAATCCACAAACAGAAGAGCTGTGCACCAAGAGCAGGCAGGGCGGCAGCCCCTCTGGGAGGGGTGGGGGATAGACGGTGGCCCCGCACTGGACAGGCATGTCTGCAGGGCCGTGCCGGGGCAGCTGCAGGAGCAGCCTGAATCCTGCTAAGTGGGACACACCGATGAGAGGCCGTGTAATTGAATCATCGCGGCAGGGAAACCTGATCAATATGACACGGAAAATAAACAGCCAATTTGCAGGCTTGGTGACCTGGGTGGAGGATTGGCTTTGATGAATTAAGAGTTTAAGAGAAAAAAATGTAGCAGGAAGCAGCTGGCACAGAGCAGCCAGGAGTGGAGAGAAAAGCCAGGCCGCCTGGAGCCTCGTGGTCCGAGATGGATGCTCTGCACGTCCTGCTCAGCATCCTCGTGCCTCGTTCAGCGGTTACACTCTGGGTGGCCACTTGCTGTGCTCCATGACCAGCTCCCAGCTTAACAGCGAGGTCCCCTGTCATCTCCTGGCTTCCCCTCCCGCCCTCTGCCTGGCTTACTTCTCCCTGCCTGCCTGTGATTGCTAGGGTGAAACTTCCCACCCTGCACTACAGAGCAGCCCCCTCATCTCCCTCCCTCCTTGGCAGTGAGGGCCAAGCCCAGGGCTAGGCTTAGCGGGGAGAAGCCCCTCATGGGCACTGGCTGACAGGTGGGAACAAAAGGCATGGAGAAGGCAATGGAGACACAGGCCCAGGGGTGAAAGTGCCTCAGGGGTCCAGGCCCAGCCACCCTGGTTCATGGTCCTGCACGAACCATCCTCAGGTCTGTGCCAGTGAATGGCCACCGCCCCCCTGCTGAGGTGTTGTGACCCAAGGCTCCTGGGTGTGAGCACTTCTGACCCCCATCAGCAACCGCTGTCAAGGGAGGCCCGCTAGCCCACTGTCATGTCAGAAGCTGTCCTGGTCTGTCTGGCTGTCTGATGAGAGATAAGTCAGACAGAAACAAATTTATACTGTACAGCACAGAGAACCATATTCAGTACCTCACAGTAAGTTGTGATGAAAAAGAATATGAAAATGAATATATGTATGTTCCTATAAGACTGAAGTATTATGCTGTACCCCAGAAATTGACACCAAACTGCGAACTGACTATACTTCATAAAAATAATATTAAAAATAAAAAAAAAGAAAGTCAGAGAGAACAGCAACTTGGAGGGCGACAGTAGTAAGAGCTACAAGGGAGGTTCCAACACACCAAACGGCAGCGGGACTGGCTCCCGGAGCTGCAGAGCCCAGTGCTGTCTGAGCCGGACCCCACAGGGCAGGGTTCCAGCAGGCAGAGCTGGCCAGGCAGGCAGGCGGTGTTCTGGGTGAGACGCGGGTTCAGGACACAAGAGCTGCCATTCCTGGTCCACCGGATGTGCCAGGCACAGTGTGGGCGCTTCCCACACATCCTGCCACCGATTGTCACCTCTATGCAATGATGACGCAGGGAGGGACCGGTGTGCCCATTTTACAGATGAGGAGACCCAGGGAGGAACTGGGGGCTGTGCCCAGAGCTGTTCGACTGGCTGGTCCTGGAGAACTGGACAGTAAGGGAAGGGTGACGCCCGGCGCCTGCGCAGGGCCTGGCCAGAA